TACAGTTTAACTTCCACATGGCTGAATCAGTACATACCAGCCAGCATGACTGAAAGCCTTCTGTCCAGAAGGATCTGCTATGAGGGTGTTTTGGCCCACCTACTATGGTGGCAAGTTGTGGGGAGAACTTGTGTGATTTGCCTACCCGTTCTGAGGCTATTCTCAGGTGAAAATAAGAGGCAGGAGGGCTCAGAATGACTGGAACTACACAGCCAGTGTGAGCCTGTGAACTAACCTCACAATGACTACTCAGAAACGTCCCTCCACTGTGGGGAGAACTTGTGTGATTTGCCTACCCGTTCTGAGGCTATTCTCAGGTGAAAATAAGAGGCAGGAGGGCTCAGAATGACTGGAGCTACACAGCCAGTGTGAGCCTGTGAACTAACCTCACAATGACTACTCAGAAACGTCCCTCCAGACAGCATGGCGTCCCTGTCTGCGGAGTCCCCTTTCCCTCGTGTCTGGCTCTGTTCCATGAAGCTGACCTTCAGGCCATGATGGCTTTTTCTATCTGGGAATCTCTTAGCTTCTCATGGTTCTTCAAAGGGATTTCAAGTTTGGGACTTAGTGTCATCTTTTTTGTGCAAAGTGCCCTGGAATCCCTGCCTTGGTTCCTTGTTGATCCATCTGTCCATCTTGTGCAGCACCACTCAAATACCGAGACAGAGGATCATAAAATCCGGAGTGTGGGAGTTGTGATGAGAGGTGCAGAGTGGGGCTGTGGGTGGGCTCAATCCTCGCCATCAGACAGGTGACCTATGGAGAACCCACCAGCCACAACTTATCTATAGCACAACTACCTTGACAGCCCTTGCTTACCCGTTTCATACCAGAGCTGCAATGAGCCTGGGATAGTAAGGGTCTGAGGGATTAAGACAATTTTAACAGGAAAGAATAATGGTCCATTAATGACAGAATGTAACAGTGGAATTTCCTTCTACTCTTGAAAAGAGGCTCTGCTCTTTGATTTCTCTGTACAGTACATGGTGTGGCTCCCTTACATTTTCACAACCAAGACCCCACTCCCATTGTGATTCCCCCACCCCATCTCCATCGTGCCATCTGGTGCCATTTCTCATTATCTTTTTACTTTCCTGAAAAGAGCTCATAATCACAGCTTGCCCTTTTAGGGTATGGGGCTGGGAGAAAAGCACTAAATGAGGTTTAAGGTACACGAGGTGTCTTCAAGGACTGTGATACCTCATTAGACCCAGTGGGAAAGACAGTGGGAGCTGGGGACTTACCAAAGAACTTCTGTCTCCTGGAGGCTGTCTGAATGAATCGGGCTGGCGGCAGGCCCAGCACCTACAACAAGTACAATGCAGACGTTTCACTCTTTGTGGAGTCACAGATCGAAAGACTTTTGGTCTAGGTGGGACTTTATCCAAACTTTGCCTTCTACAGATAAGGACCCAGGGATATTAAGTAATAAACGTCAGTGACAGAACAGGCCCAGAGCCTGGTTCTTTTAACTCCTAATCCAGGACTGTTTCAATATCTCAAGAATCAGTACTGGCCATGTTACTGTAAACAGGCATCAGCACCAACTAGAGGTGGGCCACCCTTGATAGCAGCCAAATCTAGTTGTCAGATCAAATAAACTAGTGTATACACTACTACATATGAATTTAAGAATGGCATATCCCATCACGGAGCACTGGGAAGGGAGGAGGAAAAAAAAGATAAAAATCATCACATGGACATTGGACCATTATAAGACAGAACACCTTGAAAAGAAAAGGGTAGCACCTCTTGTTCACTGTTCCCTAGTGCAACTTATAGAGGAGCACAAAGAGAGGGAAATTACAGGGGTCACCCTTAGCCCTGGGTCACCTATCCTTGCTGCTGGGTTCACAGCAACAATCTATGTATGGCCCAGCCCTCCTGTCGTCAGACCCACTGAGGTCAAGAGAAAGCTGAGTCAGTTCTGGGGCAGTCAGAAACTCAACCCACACACCCCATTCTCCTTGGTATTGGAAGCAGGGATGCATCATAAACTCATCCATCACCCACCCTAGAAATCATCCACTCTGATACCCTCATTTGCAGTCCAGAGTGGGAAGTGACTTGCCAAAAAGACAGAGCCAGGGCTCAATCCCATGATGACTGACTCCCAGTGTTCATTCCATCATAGCTACCACATAAGCAATTTTTACCTAAATTATTTTAATATTTCATTATCAGTTCCAACCATGAAATAAAATTATTTATCTATATTTAATAATTCTCAAGGGTATGTGTGTCTCTCTATCTGTAACTGTGAGACAATCTAGAAAATAGAAATTTGGCATACACACACACATATAGATTATATAGATAGATCTATCTTTGTTCACAATCAAAATATCTTTGTTCCCTGGGAAAATCCTAAAATGTAAAATTTCCAAACTTTAAAGGTTATATTCCCCTATTTTGTCTAATTTAGTTTCATAATAAGATGTCTATAAATGAAAGTAATACATATAATTAATGATGATGAGTCTAGCGAAAGCCTTTTTATTGGGAGATAGTCCTCCCAGAATTAAGATAGTGAATGACTCATGACTGAAAATACATATTTTTTATAAGTCAGGTAATCTCCAATTCTTTGTTTCAACAACATTGTAATCAGGTTGTCAGCTGCTGGGTTGGTAAAAATAATTTTTGATGGCAAGTCACCATTTTGTTCTTACAGAGAACTCAAAAGGAGTCACAGAATTAAGCTACACAGCTAGAACAGGCTTCCTTCCAGGGCTCATGACTGACTGATACAAAGGGCATCGATGCCAAACCTGTTCATTCTAGCAAGAAGTGATAGTCAACTATAGGTACTGAAGCTGGAAAAAGAGAAAACCCAGCTCTATTCATTTTCCTAAGAACTGTATTCTCAATAAAATACCACATTTTATGCTTAATAATTACTTATCAAAGTTTGTGCACCAGTTATATTTTAATGATAATTCACCAGAAAAAACCATTTTTTCCAGATGTAACTTATGGTAACGGAACATTTTTTGAGTGATAGTGATTGATAAAAGATTTCAAAACATAAAACTATATTAAATTACAGTAAAATTCTTTGGAGGAAGTGGAATGGAAAAAAAAAAACAGTTCCTTCAAGGAGAAAAAAGAGCAAAAGTAAGAGAAATATAAACTGTTAAAGAAGAACTTGTTTACATCCTTTCAGATAGATTTTGGTGGGCATCACGTCACTCTGGCTTTTTGATTCTTTTGGATATATTTGAAAGTCTGGCATAACAATTTTATTTTAAAATGTCATTATTTCAAAAAAAAAAAAAATGTCATTATTTCGGGGCCGGCCCGGTGGCACACTGGATAGTGCGCCGCTTGAGAAGCGCGGCAGCGCTCCCGCCCGAGGGTTCGGATCCCACATACAGACCGGTTCCCGCTCACTGGCTGAGCGAGGCGCAGGAGCAACGCCGAGGTTTGCAATCCCGTTGCCGGTCCCCGGTCCGGTACGGGGGCAACACTGAGGGTTGCGATCCGTTGCCGGACACGGAAAAAAGACAAAAGACAAAAAAAAAAAATGTCATTATTTCCAATATGGCAAAATGACATCCTTCACAACTATTTAAATTTATGATAAAAGCGTTAGATGTCAACTCCACAGTTTATAAGGGGACACATAATTTCAAAAATACTTTTAGAAAACATTCAACCCCCCACCCCCCAAAAAGAAAGTATTGTGGCCACTGCCCTGGGCGAGTCTGGGGAGACCCGGTGTCTGAGGGTGAAGCCCTCCTGCTGAGCCCGGCCCCAGCCAGCAGCCTGCCCTCCCCTCACCTCCATGATGCAGGCCAGCTGCTCCACCTCATTCTCCCCGGGGAACAGAGGGTAGCCCGTGTACAGCTCCGCCGTGATGCAGCCCAGGCTCCACATGTCGATGGCCATGTCGTAGGGGTGGCCCATAATCACCTCTGGGGATCGGTAGAACCGGCTTTGGATGTACGTGTATACTGTGGGGGCAAAAAGAGATACACCTGGCATGGGAAAAATTCCTCCTCTCCAGGCCTCTCTTCTCCAGGATACCTTTGCAGCTGAGGGTGGCTGATGATTTACACTCCTCCCCCAACCCCTACCTTCCTACCCCAGGGCCTTACAGAGAGAGGGAAGGAGGGAAAGCTGGCCAGCACTAGTGAGTCACATCACATATCCAACATCAGCAGCCTCACTAGAATGGAGCTATTATTATCCCCACTTTATTGATAAAGAACCCCAACGTAGGCATTGTTCTAGAAAAGTGATGGAGTTTGGATGTGTTGTCCCCTCCAAAACTCATGTGGAAATTTGATCCCCAATGTGGCAGTGTTGGAAACTGATTGAGTCATGGGGGCGGATCCCTCATGAATGGATTAGTGCTCTCCCTGGGTGGGGGGAGTAGTGAGTGAGTTCTCGCTCTGTTAGTTCCCCTGAGAGCTTGTTGTTTAAAAGACCCTGGCACCTCCCCTCTCTCTCTTGCTTCCTCTCGCCATGTGATCTGCCTGAACCCACTGGCTGCCTGCCACTTTCCATCATGAGTAGAAGCAGCCCGAGGCCTGTGCCAGATGCAGCTGTCCCAGAATCGTAAGTCAAATAAACCTCTGTTCTTTAGTTTCAGGTATTCCTGTTATAGCAACACAAAACGGACTAATACAGGAAGTAAATTTAAGTCAGCTAAGTTTCTTTTTTTAAAAATAAAAATTGAAACAAAACATAAGACTAATATAAAACTTAGTTTCCAAACTGTTAGATTAATTTGGGGTAGACATCTTTTGAAAGTATTGTGATTGACGAGGGAGGAGACATATCAGAACTGGAAAGGAAGCATGCGAGATGCATAATTTAAAAATGTATATTTAATATGTTATGTGCATTTATTGTGTAATATAAAGTATAGAAAGAAAAGCTCAATGAAATCTCAGCAGATGAAGATGAATAGAAGATGGTATTGTAGGGAGCCAAGATTTCACAGATGAAGAGACATGATAGTTATTTTCACGTAATCGTTATTGGCCGTTTCTTGGATGAGGAGAGAGGCAGGGATTCTAATCGCTTCTCTGTTGTTTAAATTGGTTGTTGTAAGGATGTGATAATTCTGTGATTTTAAACAAAATGAATATTTAATAAAAATGACTTTTATACCCTACTTGCTTCCAAAATGGATTTGAGGTACTCTGCAAAGTAAATATACACAGGATATTTTAGAACATGAATTTAATGGTACTTACATAGTGCTTAACACATGCCAGGCACTATTCCAGGTGCTTTACACAGATGGACTCTTTCATTCCCTACAACAACCCTTTGAAGCAGGTACTATAGTTGTCTCCATTTTAAAGATGAGGAAACTGAGGCATACCAAAGTTAAATAAATTGTCAAGGTCACTCAGATATAAGTGGTAGATCTGGGATTTGAAAAGAGGAAGCCTGGTTCTGGTATCCATACTCTATACTGCCTCATGGTTGAAATAAAAGAGAAGCCAGAAAATATATAATGCAGGAAATAACTGTCAGAAGCCAAGGATAAACTAATTACAAATTCAGTTCTGAGCATCCTGGCAGCCAAAATAAATGGTAACTAATAGATTACATAGCTTTCAGTATCTGAGAAGAGTAAACACAGAAGTTCTTTTCAGAAGGCATGGTTTTCTAGCTGGAATTTCTTATAGGATTCATACATAAAAGATATAAAAGACATATGTCCTCAAAAGTGGGTCTGCAGAATATTGGAAATATCCATCTGTTAGCTCTTTCTTCAGCCTCAGGAGGCTTCTTCTGATACCCCCTGACACCATAAAGGCTGGTCCCAAAGTCCCTCTTTTGGGTGACCTTAATATAGCCTGTGCGCATCTCTAATCATTGTACTTATTATCTTCTTATCTTTCCATCTCTTACATTAGACCCTATGTAACCTGAGGACAGGAAAAATTCACTTTTGTTCCTGGTACTCGGGACAGTGATTGACACATAATAGATACTCAATAAGTGTTTGTCAAATGTACATGCCTTCTACACCAAACTTGATAGAAGCCAAAGGAACAGACTATTAAATCAAGTTCAGTAAAGGTTCTACAATGTATTCCAGGGCTACTTTCTCGATTCCAGCTTTAAAAAAGAATAAAGCCCAGAGAATCTAGGGCAGTGAATTCCAAACTTTAGAATGGCTATCTTTTCTAAAGTGTAGACTCCTAGGTACTCCCCAGAAATTTGGATTTGGTGCATCTGCAGTAAGATTCTGGAAACTATAATTTTTCAGTGCTCCAAAGTGATGCTGATGCCCATCTAGTTAGTTTTGGGACCCAGTGCTCTGGGTAATTCCACATCTACAGAATATGAGAGCTTCAAAGAGCCCTGATGGTATCTGAATCCAACTTTCTCATTTCACAGATAAGTAAACTTGGGCTCAGAGAAGGGAAGCAGTACCTTGTTCAAGATCACAGTGGCAACTGTGATGGCTGAGGCCAGGACAGAAGGAGATAAATTGCAATAGGAAAACGCAGACAAAGGGACAGGCATGGGGCCCACCTTTCTGGTGTTCATAACAGCTTGATCCAAAGTCAATAACTTTAATGGAGACTTGGCCCTTTTGGCATAGCACTATATTTTCCTGGAAAGAAGAAGAAAAGACGTTTGCCAAGTTTTAATAATGTTGCCCTGGGTACTGTGCTCACCCTCCTCAAGGGTCCAGTTCAAATACGATCACCCCCAAGGGCCTTTCTCACATCTACTCCAAATCCCATTGTGCCTCCTCCTCCGACTTCCCATTTGACTTGTGGTCTGTACCTCTTATTTGGACCCAGTACTCCCTGCTTTGCAGTGTTTCTTTTGCATACATTTTGTCTCTTTCCTCATATTGATTGTGTAACTCCTGAAGACTGTGGGTTTATTTTTATCTTTGGCACCTGGTTCTATGCCTTGCTTACCTAAGGCATTAGAAATGCCATCGACTGAATTTGTTTGATGTTTCCATTAAATGCCCCCACTGACATACCACTATGACAGTAGAGGACAACCCCCCATCCCCCCGCTCCCACCCCCACCTCCTCAGAGGCAGTGATCTGATTGGGATTTGCAGCTCTGACTTTGGGGAAAATGTGAAACCAGGTGCTTCAGTAGAGGCATAGATAAGAAGGGGGAGATGGTGGGCTCTCCTCTCAGCATGAGAATGCACTGGCTAGGGCTGGAAGATTAAAGTCCCAATCATGTGTTCAAGGATCTCAATATCAGATGAACTGATTACGTGAGTGCCTACGGAGTACCCTAACATTTCTGATGTGACATAGAAGGCCTGGTCTGAAGCCTCTGGCACCACAAACTAAGAGAGCACAAATTCTTTTCTAAAGAATGTTTGTGTTAACTGGAGGAGGAGAAACAGCAAAAGCCATAAAAGAGCAAGAATTTCTAGTGTGCCTCAAGCTCAATGGAAAGGCTCCTTAGCCAGACGGGGGTAGCCTTCCCGTCTCATTGGTGAAATAGCTTCACAGAAGGGATAAACACAGTGGGTAATCATAGCTCAATGATAATAACCATTAAGGCCACGAGAATAATTCTGTGATTCTTGAATCCATACTCACAAAACACTGTCCTGGTTGTGTGTACACTTTCCTACCGGGACACACATATTTTGATCTACTAGATATATTTCTTTTTTTTTTTTTTCTTTTTGTCTTTTTTCATGTCCAGCAATGGATCGCAACCCTCAGTGTTGCACCCATACCAGACCGGGACCGGCAATGGGATCGCAACCCTCGGTGTTGCGCCCGCACCCCGCCCAGCCAGTGAGCGGGAACCGGTCTGTATGTGGGATCCGAACCCTCGGCGGGAGCGCCGCCACGCTCCCAAGCGGCGCACTGTAGCAGTGCGCCACCGGGCCGGCCCTACTAGATATATTTCTGAAGGAAATCTGTTACCTGATATTTTGGCTCCCAAAATGTTTTGTGAACTTCCTTGGTGACAGTCAGTCCCCTAAGCCCAAAGACATGGGTGCTGTGACACTTTGGAGCTGCAAAGCTGAGGATTAGGAACTTGGATGTGGAGAATAAATCAGTGTACCACATCCTTGTGAGGCTCTACCAGTCAGCACCAAGAGAACATCTCTATCTTGACAATCTTCACTTATAAAAATATCCCCAATTTACCCAATGAGTTCTAGTTTTCAAAACAAATTTTTAAACTATTATGGGGGGTGGGGAGAAGGGAGTGAAGAAAAGTTGAGAGAGATTTACAAACCTGTGCGGGTCAGGCTGTTCTTGGAGCCAGCTTCTTATACCTTGTCCCTAGCAACTGTGCTATTTCCTCATGTCTTCAGTCATTAACTAATGTAGCAAGCATTACTTATTGCCTGCCACTGCTATTACCAGTACCATGTTAGGTCCTGGGAACATGATGGTGAAAAGACATCATGGTTCCTGGCCTTGGGGGAGCTCACAATCCAGTGGGGGATACAGATAAAGAAACAATTCCTACACAAAGCAATCAGTGAAGTAATGTAAGAATGTCCCATGCATTTGGAATAAAGAAAGTGGTCTGGGGTTTGCTGCACCCTAGGACCAACTCAGAGTAGAGTGGAGATAGTGAGGACTTAGTAGAATAGAGCAGTCCATCTGCTTGCACAGCACATGTCTCTGCCGAGCAGACAAGGGAGAACTCTGGGCCCCCAGGCACAATCCTGAGAGCTGCAGGTGGCTGTTAATTTTCTCAGGGAAGAAAGGGCAAAAAGCGTAAACCCAGACTCCCAGGACTTCTTACTACACATTTTGATACTCAAGACACAACCACTCACCTCTAAGCCTTCCATAGGGAAGCTCTCAGACCTTCTTGTTCCTGTCTGCCTCAGTTATACCACATGTCTCTTCGTTTCCCCAGTATCCTTGCTTTAGTCTTCCCGGCATCTCACTTGGCTTACTCGCCTATATACAGGATGCTGGGCTCCTACCCTAGCAGCCCTGGCCATGCTGGCTGCCCCAGCCAGCACTAGGGAACAGAAAGGGGCAAAGAGCTCCCAAGAGTGGGGCCCGCTCCCATGGCAGGACAGAGGTGGTACTCACAGGCTTGAGATCACAGTGAATGATTTTCTCTACATAGAGCATTTGCAAGCACTTCAAAATAGAGAGGGTGAAGTGTCGAACTACTGACAGGCTGAAGCCTTGAAAGCTGTTATTCTTCATCAACTCGTACAAGTTGATTCTGGGAAAGAGAAAAAGTGACGTGTATGGGTGTAAACAGTATAAAGGTGAGCTTGAACCGCAAACGACCCTGCATCACCTGGCTTCTCTCTAGCAGGAGCCAACCCTCAGACCAGGAGGCAGGGCTTTTGTGTCCTACAAACTCAGCTTTCCCACCAATTCCTGGTGGGCCCAGGTGAAGTTCAACCATGCTGGCCCCTCAGAGGTCCCCTCATTTCTTATGTGACAAGCCACTTAAGGTCCTGCTCTCTTGCCTTATTTACTCAAAATCAAAGACCTTTCCCCACGCTGAGCAACCATCTGCCTGTTCCTTTTGGGTTCCAACCTCTGCACATAGGGTTGGGAAGCCAGTGAGTGGGCAGCATGGTAGCAAAGGAAAGGCCTTTTAATATGTTCCAGTTTAGCTCTTGAGGACGGAGGCCTTGTTCTGGTTCTGTCACACTGGTATTCAGCACCAGGGGAGCACATCATGGCTCTGCTGGCAGGGGGCAGACATGCTGAGGGCTGGGGACATGGCTTCCTGTGATCCCAGCCTCCTTGCCACTGGGCCGTCTTGATAACCGAGTGGCAGTTGTGTCCATTCTAGTCGTTCAGTAGTCACCTGCAGAAAAATCTAGCATTCTGACCCCAAAGTTTGTCTTCTGTCACTTAAGCAACTTTTCAAAAGAAATGAATTAAAAGAAAAAGTAGCTGACCCCAGGAGTTCAAAGGTGATGCAGAGGTGATTGCGGAAGTAGAAGAAGTCCTTCATGTGCACTACGTTGTGGGTGTTGTCTTTGTCCTTCCTTCTGAGAGCATCCAGGATCTTCAGCTCCACCAGGGACTGGTGGTGAAATCTGAGGCCATTGGGGAATGTCAGGGAGGGTGGGAAGCGGGGGCAGAAAATGCGGATGTCACGTCATGCTGCAGCAACTGGCCTCCTTCCTCAGCCCCTCCCCACAACCCCAACAAGACTCTCCAGGGGGGCAGAGAGCACTAAAAACTCCAACTCTTGCCTCGTCTTTGCCCCTTTGTGGAATCAAACAGGTAGAGAGGGGAAGAGGAGAAGAGGAAGGTCAGAGGAAGAGGCAGTCCCAGGGGCAGAGTCAGGAAGGGTTGGCATTCTGAAGGAGCCAGCGTCCTGCAGTCCCTCCTCTGTGGCCTGTGCCATCCACCAAGCCACACCTCTTCTTGTTCCTGATGATCTTCAGGGCCACCAACTCATTGCTTTTGTGATCCAGGCACTTGGCCACCTGTCCATAGGACCCTTTCCCGATCATCTCCAGAACCTCGTAGCGGTAGGCGATGTGGTCATGCAGGACCTGCAAAAGCAGGCCAGGGTGAGCAGCAGAGCCACAGGCGCACGGCTTCCCTGACACTGGGGCCCCTGGGTCCCCTCCCCAGCTCATGGCTCCCTCCCAGGGGAGTTTTCTGAACTGTGCTGGGCACCTGTGCAACTCCCGTCTTCATCTCACAGCTACTGCAATGGCTAGGTTGTTGTCTGGATCCCAGGCACTAATGCAGTGCCGAAGGAAAGTCCCACAGGCTCGATCCACATCAAGCAGTGCAAAGAACACTGGATGGTCTGTGGGAGACTTGGGTTCTAGTCACAGTCTTGTAGTTCTAGTCCCTGTCCTCTAGTTTTCTGCATATTTTAGGACCTGTAAAGTAAGAAGGTTGCACAAAGTGGCCCTGAAGGTCCTTTCCAGTCTGGACATTTCATGCTTCTTGAAGTTGAGCAGCAGCTCCAGTTTGGGAGAAGTTCTGTTTCTGTCTGTTGATGTGTCTCCCTTAATCAGAGAGGGCTTTATGTCTGTTCTGTCTCTTCCTGGTCAGATTTGGTTCTCCCCTGGACTTATTCAGATTTAATCCTTTCCTGGAGTTAGCAGTACAGAACTTGGACCTTTCTTGGCTAAGAAGAGAAATATTTTTTTAATAACAATATCACCATGTCTCTCCCTGCACTGGAAATCAAGGAGCAGGTATTTAGTCAAAGTCAAAGGTATTTAGTCAAAATTTCTGATTAAAAAGACCTTAGCTGGGTGGCTTCAGACAAGCCACTTTCCCACTTGGAGCTGTAGTATCCTCACCTGTAAACTGAAGATTCTGGATAAGATAATATCCAAGGTTCTAAAGCTCTGTGAATCTGATTTCTACTGTAAAATTCATGAGTTTTGGAGAGGTGAAGGATGAGTGCTGGTGCTCATGCAAGTCCTCAGAATGCGTTTGTGAATGTGTGGAGGGGGTCTGCTCATATAGGAGCAATCAGGACCATGAATTTGTGCACATACAACTTTATAGATCCAGGAAAGTCGGCGAGTCTACTTGTAAATGTGTGTCATGAGAATGTATGGGGAAAGGGTGAGAACAAGATCTGCACGCATGTTGGTAAAGGCACATGTGTGTTTTCCAAGCATTTGCACATATCTTCTACATACCACCTGAGTCTACTTGTAAATGTGTGTCATGAGAATGTATGGGGAAAGGGTGAGAACAAGATCTGCATGCATGTTGGTAAAGGCACATGTGTGTTTTCCAAGCATTTGCACATATCTTCTACATACCACCAGCTTGACTGTATCATAAGTATTTGCTCACATGCCAACGCTGGCATAGATTCTGTGGATACTTGAGAGCAAGGACCATGCTGTACTCACTTTTAATGGTTCCCTTTGTATTTTCAGAGTCTAGCAAATGCCCAGGCTTATGATAGGTGTTCTGTATATAGGTATTCAATCCACATTTGTTGGCAGAATAAATGTGAGAATGCAGCTGTGTTGCTTGTTTGGGAATTTGACTGTGTACACTGGAATGCAATAAGAATGGAGATTCTGAGCTCATGGAGAGCACACATTATCCCTCTTTACACACCAAAAACATAGCTCTCTAACATTTGAGACCAAGGAACTGAGTTCCAGTGAATTAACTTAAGGGTAGTGCTGACATCCCTAGAGAATTTCCCAGAGACCCTAAGCTCAGGTAGGCTGAGGAGGGGAAGAGAGCAGGGAGGGAGGGCTTGAAGGTGTCTGGCTGAATTAGAGGTAAGGTTTGCATTGGGGATTCTCAACCAAGGAGCCATTAATCCCTTGAAACTTTGTGTATGTGCAGGTTGCCTTTTCTGGGATGAGGACTCATAGCTTTTCTCAGACTCCCAAAGGGATCCCTGACATAGAAATTTTGAGAACCAGGGCTCTAGATGGAGGCTGTATGACAGAAGCGAAATCCTTGCTTCTCAAAGTGTGGTCCGAGGACCAGCAGCATGGACATCACCTGGAAGTTTTTAGAAATGCAAAATCTCAGGCCCCACCCCAGACCTGCTGAATAAAAATCTACATTTTAACTAGATCCCCAAGTGTGCATTTTAAAGCTTGAGAAGCATGATTCTAAATGCCATTAAGAATATCTATCTTGGGCTGGCCCGGTGGCGCACTGCTATAGTGCGCCGCTTGGGAGTGCAGCGGCGCTCCCGCCGAGGGTTCGGATCCCACATACAGACCGGCCGCTCACTGGCTGAGCGAGGTGCGGGTGCAACACCAAGGGTTGCGATCCCGTTGCCAGTCCCGGTCCGGTACGGGCGCGACACTGAGGGTTGCGATCCGTTGCGAGCGAGGTGCGGGTGCAACACCAAGGGTTGCGATCCCGTTGCCAGTCCCGGTCCGGTACGGGCGCGACACTGAGGGTTGCAATCCGTTGCCGGTCACGAAAAAAGACAAAAAAAGGAAAAAAAAAAAAGAATATCTATCTCTTCTATGAAGCCATTAAAGACTCATCTTATGTCCTAACACCAAGTTGTGAAGAAATGTCCAGAAGAAAAAGTTCCTGACAGCCCACAGCCTAGTGGACTAAGAATCATGCATCCAGACATCTTTAGAAATGGAAATCATTGCCCAGATTTCACCTTCAGGCTGGTAAGAGGCACTATCTTGGGGAACCCCAGACGTACACAGTTAGAAGAGGAGAACAAAGAGTTGTTGGGATCAATTTTTGAAAAATGGAATGAAGTTAAGCTCTCTGCACCAGGAACTATAGTGACAAAAACTTTTTCTGTTTGTGGAGAAAATGACATCAATGATAAAATAGAAAAATGCCCATGATAAAACAGAAAAGGGCTTGTATTGAAGAGACACAAAAGGGAATGTTGGAGAGACTGCATCTTCCTGGCCTTTTCCAATGGGTGCAGGGCTGTGCAGGACAGGAGCCTGTGGGAGTTCCCCCAGGATGCAAACCTGTTGCCCCAAACACTCTTGGAGAAAATCAGTGTTCTGTTAGCAGAGTATTTTGCATACTCAATTGCACGTTTTCCTATTTTCAAACATGGTATTTCTTTGGTTTAGCTTCTACTAGAATCCTTCAGGATGCCTAGTCCCCTATATATCAGCACCAAACACTATAAAACACCCACTGCTTCTTTCCTTTGCAGGCAATCTCTGTGCCTGAGCCCCCTGAGGTTACCACACCCCGCTGCCCCATCACCTTCTTGTAGGAGCCATGCTTGTCATCAAAGCCTGTCTCGCTGAAGTTCTCAGGATCCACTTTGAGCTTCTCAGCTTCAAGACCCAGGAACCACAGCTCTGTGTAGCCCAAGATTTCACTTTGCTCATAAGGAGATAGCTGGTTCTTAAAGGACTTTAGGGCCTCTGCGTGAAAACACTAAGGTGGTCAGTTAAGTTGAGACAGCATGGTTTGCCCTGGGTGCAGATGACAGCACCCCTTCCAATCTGAGCTGAGCAGCCTTCCCTTACCTAGTCGCTTGTAAGGACCGTGCATCTAGAATCTCGCAAGGTGTAAATGTAATGCTAAATGTCAAGGCCTTGTACATATTTCAACAGATCAGGAGGAAAACACAATGGTAGGGAAAGGGAGAATTTAGTCTCCAAAGAGCTGTGGGTTGCAGCAGCAAGGGGGGATATTCAGGAGTAAACTCAGTGCCAACAATAGTACAGAGTTAAGGTGGCATTTGCCCAAGTTAATGTGGGACTAGGCTACACAAATAGTCTATCTTGAGAGGCTTTGAAAACCATAATGTCTCCAGGGGCTAGACAGGTATCACAAATGCAACTTTTAAAGGTCCAGAAGGTATTATTCCCACTCAAATCTGCAGTGGAGCCAGTGAGGACCTCAGACTACAAGGTAGGAATGTGGTTAATCCTTCCCTGCTCTACAATGGCCAGATCAGGTCATGTCGGGGCTCTGGTGTTTGGTCAGGGGGCAGGGGACGGGGGGACAGGTAAAATTCACACTTTAATAAATATACTGCACAGTGCTCAGAGGAGAGAAACCAGGATCGGGGAAGGGGGTACCACATTACTTGACAAACTGCTGAAGAGTTGGAGAAGAAACTGCGAGGAGAATAAAACACTTATGGGGGTAAAGACGTCTGTCTTCATACATGTGAAGGGCGGTCGTGTGTAAGCTGGTTAAGGCAGAGGACAGAACCAGGATTAAGACAGCAGGGAGGCAGACAGCAACTCTGCAAAGACAGAACTAGCTCAGGACTAAAGTTATCTCCCCGTGCATAGTGCCTGAGATCGCTTCCAAAGGACAACTGATTTCAGTTTCAAAGCGGTGGTGGAGAAGCTCCAAGCACTGGATAATGTTGGCACAGAGTGGATGCCCAGCGGATTCTGGTTCACTTTCTTTGAATCCTAACAAGTTATGAGCCTCTGAACCCTGGGAGGAGTCTAGCTCCTGGCCAAAAACATGTGTGATCTTTCAGGCCCCGCCACAGGCACTTCCGAAGGCTCTGCCTGGCAGGCCCCATGGGGGAGCTGCCCACCCGCACCAGTCCTGATGCCCAGCCAGGGCACTGCAGCCTCTGAAGGGAGCTGCCTCCAGGGACTGAGCCCCTGGCTGACTATGCTCCTGCACATATCTGCATTCCTATCCCACACCAGTCCTGATGCCCAGCCAGGGCACTGCAGCCTCTGAAGGGATCTGCCTCCAGGGACTGAGCCCCTGGCTGACTATGCTCCTGCACATATCTGCATTCCTATCCCAGGAGCCCCCACCAGAGGCCTTCCTCAGGCTCCTCTGCCAAGACCTCCTTACCAAGAGGAAGGGGGACACTTCAAGACACTTTTCTCTACTCCGACTTAGTATTCAGTACTTTTCCACTCTCAGATCTTCCCCCCTCCCCCTTCCCCCGGTCCCTGGGTCCATAAAATGACAGGAGCCTTTGGTTTGGGCTCCCCAGGCAATGAGAAGTTCCCTGTCTGAGACGGCTGGCCCTTGTCCAGTGCTGCTCCACAGGAGGGAGCTGCTGCTCTCCCCTAGTTGGCCTCTTGCTTTTACTATCACGGTAAAAGATTAAAGGCTTCACTTCTACTTGCATTTGGGCTTGTTGCCTTAACTGACTGCTCTGACACCTGGCACCTTAGCCCTCTCCAGCTCAGCTCAGCTCTGGATGCCCCAGCCATCCATAACCACCGCCCACCACACGCTGCTGCTGCCCCAAAGGCATACCAGCCACCGTCAGAGGCACCTTGTGCTGCTGCCTTGGTGACTCCTCCTCTGGCTTGGAGTCTTGAGTTTCTAAGCTAGAGCGGAAAGCCTTGAGCTCAGAGGCTGGCTCCTGCTTGCGAGTTTGACGCTCCTGTCCAGGGAAAGAGGTTTGTAATTAATGACTACTTAGGCTTCTGCTGGGGGTCCTAAACCTTTGATCTGACCAAGAACACCCACATCTGGCTAGGCTCTTTTCCTTCCTCTCCAGAGAGAAAACAGTAACTAAGAGACAGTAGGTTTTCTCAGATTTTCTCCTGAAGGAAGTATCTGTCCGACTCTCACATTCCCTAGGAGGATGTACATTACAGTACGCAGGTGACAACCGCAGTGACATCTCACTGTAGGAAGAGATGAAAACAGTTTTTTACGGTTGCTGTTGAGAAGGCCAGTTCCTGACTACATACAGTAGCCTGCCCAAGGGCACATAAACTTGAACTTGCATTTGTATGACATGCCTTAACTTGGCACTTTCCCACATACTATCTCATTTGGTCTTACACAGAAAAAGTAGGAAACAGGGGAGAAAAACAATATTTTATATGGTCCCACCATTTTTATACCAGAACTTAATTTTTCCTTTCTTCACTGAATCCTCATGACGACCCTGTAGAGAGCCCATCTGGTAGATAAGAGAAAGTCAGTGACTTACCTGCTGAAGTTTGCATTCACTGCAGGAAGGAGTGAGAGCAGGACCAGGGCCCAGGTCCTCAGCTGACACTGTGCCTTCCCCCAGCCCCCTGGGCCTTTATAAACTTGGTTCTGGACTGAAACCAGGTCTTCCACCTGCCTGCTCAGGGGCATGTCTACCGCCCTGTGCTCACCTGATACAGCAGGGGTGGCTTCAGCAGGATTTTGTTGCTGATGAGTGGGAAGTTTAGCACGTTCTTCTTCCCCTTGGCATCCACAGGAAGGGATGAAGTAATGCCGGTGTTTGTACTCTACAGAAGGGAACATTCAATAAGTTACAGAAGCCTCAGGCAAGAAAATGCCTCCGGGGGTCATTTCTTCTAGCCCCCTCCCCACAACAAGAATGAGCCTAACCCAAATCCAGGCCTAAGCCTATTCTTGGAGTTCTGAGAGAGAAAAGTAGCCTCCGGGGCAGCAAGTAATCAAGTGGTGGGCTCTGAACTTGAATGCCCGCTCCACAAGCTATCAGCTGTAGACCTTGAACAGGTCACACTGACTCTTTCTCTAAGCCTCAGTTAATTCATCACTACCATGGGGACAAAAACGGGACCCGCCTCATAAGGCTTTTGTGAGGTAAATGAGGCGTCTACGTGGAGTGCTCCATAAGTGCAAGCCATTTTTATTGTGATTCTGAAATCCTACCACCCTTACATGGGGAAGATCCTCCTGCTATGGAATGCACGTCTTAGCAGGTGCAGCATCAGTGCCCATCATGGCGACATTATTGACTGGACCTACCCACTTGGATCCCTGATCTCCTGCATTTATTGATTGATTGCTTGTTCGGGAAAGATGTAGTGTGACTATCAATGCATAGCAACATATAAAATTGGGCAGAAACGGGGCACGGTGATGTGAATAGAGGGCTCTCATTGCGTGAGGCTGAGCTGACCAAAAACGCCTGTTAGAAGTCAATCCAGCCCCCTGCCTGCCTCATCCTCTCCCGGAGAAAAGGCACTCACCACCTTATGCAAGAATCGGGTCACTCTGGGGTTCTGGATCTTGGAAGGCAGCTTGTGGGCTTGAACCAAAGGCTTACTCTCAACCTGAATCAAGTGGAAGAGAATTGGAATAGTAATTGGCACGGCTTCATCCTCCGACATTTTTTGTTTCATTACAATAAACGAGATACACCTGAAGCCAGCTGTCCTGACCCCCAAAGCTAGGAAGAGCTAAGACAGGTTCACAGAAGTACTCAGTGAATGGATGAGTGGATGGCTACCCAAACAAATGATCTTTCCAGAAGTGTTAATCCTGGACTGATCTGTCCCATGGTTTTCATGCTTTTTAAAAAAGAAATTGATGTGACTCTTTCTTCAAACAAAAATCTTAATTTGAAGCCCTGGACATGGGAAGGAATGAAGCTGAGCTGCTCTTGTTCTTTGGACAAGAAAATGCGCATAGCCTTGTCCAGAACTCTGCACCCTCAGTGTGGCTCCAAAGGTACCTTAGTGGAACTGCCAGAATATAGGTGCCCACCCTGAACACCAGTGACCTGATCAGAAGAAATATTTCACATTTCTTTGGACAAGAAAATGCGCATAGCCTTGTCCAGAACTCTGCACCCTCAGTGTGGCTCCAAAGGTACCTTAGTGGACCTGCCAGAATATAGGTGCCCACCCTGAACACCAGTGACCTGATCAGAAGAAATATTTCACATCTAGAATGCGGTAGGGGGAGAAGAGCAAAATACTTGAGCACCATGGAGGTACGTGACATAATTGTGTGCGGTACACAACTAAACAGTTATCTAATGGTTATGCATTTATTTTAATATCCATTTGAAAAACTATAGCTAGCACATTAAAACTGTAATTTTGTGGTTATTATTTAGGATGAGAATAAAATTTAAAGTTAAAAAAAATAAAATGGAGTGTGAGCACTATGTAGAAATGGCAAAAATCATGACGGGGGCATAGAAGTGACTAAAGTTTAGCAAACAACAGGCTACAGCTTACATCTTAAATCTGCTATTTAAAGCAGAACTCAAGGGATCTCCTTCCGGACCTCTCTTAGAGAACTGAAGGACATTTATCCAAAATTAAGACACAGCTAGGGCAAGATCCAAGTCTATAAAATTTGGCCACATCAAATTAAGGACTGGATACAACCTTCAACTTAATATCATCCAGCACAGCTAAGTCTTCCACAGAGCTGTAATGATGGAGACTATTTAGCATTGTCTGTCTTGACCTCCTGGAATAGGGAAGTGGTCTGAGGGAGAGGGGATTGCATAGCCTCAGAGCACATTAGTGAATTTGCTAATGTGTGCTAAATGCAAGATTTGGCCGTCCATCAGACAATTATGATACGTGAGCACATACTCCACACGCAAATCTCACTGAGTCTCAACTTCTCATCAGGGAGGTGTGTGGGGATTAAATAAAGTCTATTATTAAAACAAATGAAACTCTTGAGGTAAGGACAATGTCAGAAGGGTTGT